AGAAGATCTTAGTATGTTTTATGAACAGATACCTTAAGCGAGATACTTTTCCAAGTGTTGCTTGTACTCAAAAATCCGAAAAAATCATTCAGGACTTTTATATGTAACTTTGCACCACGTTGAATGCACCACGTTAATTTCTTAGATTGTAGTTGTACATGTTTATATGACCACTCCACTTTTTATCTCACTCACTCCACTTTTTTTTAGTAACCTTTTTTTTTTTTTGAACATGTGACTCACGTTTAAATCAAGCGTGGGTCTTAAACTGATGGCCTTAGAATGGTAAGAGCCTAGATTATGCGAGCTCTTCCGTTTTAGGCCTTCTAATATGACATTCACATCCAAAGATGAAGGATTCTGATCAATAATTGAGACTCACAGTTCAACAACCAAAAGACCTTATTTATTACCAATGTAATGTATTATTTACCAATGTAATTAGAATAAATTATTATAATTTATGCGGTAGTGGTGTAGTGGAGGGGCGCTTGCTTTATAAGCGAGAGGTTTCGAGTTTGATCCCCACAACGCCCCTGGTAGTACCGCGCTCAATTTGTTTCAAGGCGGCCTTGTTCATCAAGGTTCGTATTTCGGAGTTATAGAGTTGAGAGAGGGTTTTAGCCACAATTAAGTAGCCTCCTCGTCTGTAGCGGCCTTCTCGGCCTTAAGGAGGTGAACAAACAAACAAACAAAAAAATAACAGTCTTAAATTTCATGTAAATTCTGAACAAAATCTTGCACAAGTCTTCATACTGCAAAGATCACTTGTATTTTTCTTTTTTTGTAAGAAATTAGACCAGCTTCGTTTTCTTTTTCATTAATGGAGATCGCAATACCGTTTTTTTCTTTTAATTGAAAAATTAAAATTAGTAAATAAAACAAAGTAATTTAAAAATAAAATATATAAACTAAAGTTCCTCGAAGTTTAGATTTTAACCAATGTTGTGAGCATACAATTGCTTCCAACGTGCTTGGAATCATAGAACTACGATATTTATCAAGAACTCACAACCACCTGTGCTGAAGACTTACTCAGAAGCAACAGAAGATAACATAATCGACAAAGCATCTCTTGCTAAACATTGTATAACTGTAAATCTGACTCCGACATGTCTCCACCATTCCAGTATGTTGAATCCCTCTTTATTAACAATCAATGGCTCATCTAAGTACAACTGTAATTTATTTTTTAGTTCCGAAGAAGAAGATTTTAAGGCTACATATCTTTTGAATTTCTCAGTCCTTTTTGAATATAAAAAAGAAGCAGAAAAAATAGACTGATTAGAAATACTTTCCTTTAACACTGGAGAGTTTACCGTGTTGAAATATTTAGCAGCGTACTCATTATATAACTTTTTTATTCATTGACAATTATTTATCCATTAATATCTTTATAACTTCTGTTCACTTATAAATTTCACCATAAATTTCCCTAAAGTAATACTCAATGCTGATCATTTTTTAACGCGGGTTCAACAGAGATGCAATGGCTAATATATTGGAACTAATTTTCCAATATTTTGAAAATTTTGCCATCATTTTCCTCTCCATTTCACAGATAAAGTGAATATGATTGCTGCACAAATCAGTTATTTGTAAATAAATTTTACAAATATGATAAAAATAGTAGTTTACTGTTGGGTTAATTGTTGTAAAGAAAAGGTTTGTTACTTCGTAAAAAAATTATAAATAGTTGCAAGAACCTTTAACATTTGTCCACTCCTCTTCATTTAGCAAATGTGCGTAACTTAAATCAATTTCTTTTAGACAAATAAAGACATCTTTGAACTTCAATGCAGTATCCAACACTATATAAGTAGAGTTCCATCTTGTTTTTACAACCAAAACAGCATTTTTACTTGGAGCTTGTACTTGGATGCTACTTCTTTAAACTATTGTCATTTCAAAGTTGACGATTTACAGTTTCTCTAACATTTACTATTATATGTTTCAATTGCTTTTTGAACAAGAAAATTTACAATATGTGCAGGACACCTGGCGTAAAAAAAACTACCATCACTGACGAGTTTAGTACTCAACTTCTCTTTGAGAATTCTAACCATTGCGTCATTTGTTGAACAGTTATCTAGAACAACACACATTATTTTTTTTTAACATTGTTCCATTCAGTATGAGGCGCATTAATATCAATAAAGTTAAGTATATGCTTTTTCAGTTTCCAATTATTATCAATATAGTGGCAGGTAGGGTTTATTTTGAATAGACATCCACAAATCACTTGTGAAATTAATTTAACAGCTTTTCCATTACACCATAAAAATTTTCCTTTTCATCTTCGAAGGTTTTCGATCAATCAATTCTAATTGTAAGTCAACTAGACATTTTAAAAAGAGGTTGTAGATCTTTACTATACTCTCTAAAACCAAAATGCTCAACAGTTGAAAAAGGATATTCGTGAAGTATGATCATGCGGACCAAGTCGTTTCTGCATGTTTCTTGACTAAATTTAAAACTTTTCGACTCCAAAATACCATCGACTATTACTTAACCACTTTGTAAAAAGGTTTGACCTTTTATTGGGGAACAAACTTGTGGGTGTTTCGTCCTCAATTGTTTGACCAAGTGACTTGTTCTATCTGTAAGTCTTGCCGATAATGAATACGAACAATAGTTACACTTTGCTTAATGTTGACCATTAGTTAAAACCTTTATATAAGATGCCCAAACTTTTGAGGTGCAATTTCTCATTTTAGTTTTAGGTAATACTCTTAACTCAGATAAAATGGTTGTTTGATATCAATAATTGGAGTGACGGCATTTGCGTTTTCTACCTCTAACATATCTGTAAAAAATAAAGAAAATAAAAAAATAGGTATCTAAAGATTGATTTCAAAACTTTTATAACTTCTTTAGTCTTTTTCTTTGACCTAATGATCATTAGATGTGGATTTATTTTTTTTTTAAACTCGAAAAGCCTTTTTCTTAAACAAATCTTTTTTAAAAAGAGTGCATAAAATTGGGTTTTATAATCTAGTTTATGAATCTTTTTGAATATTTCAGAAATCATTGTTAGTTTTCAACGGCATACGCCTAATATTAAATAAGATATAATGAAAAAAGCATATAAGAAAATTATAATAATGAAAAAATATAAATTAAGAAAATGTTGGTCGGGTCTGGGTATTATAAGATTCATACCTGACCCGTTTGGTTAATGGGTCTGGGTCTTGCGGGTTTTGGGTCCGAAAAAAAATCCAAATCGGGACTTAACGGGTCGGGATCTAGACTCGACCCATTACCAGCACTAGATGTAGCGTTTCAAATGCGAGGATTTATTTAATGTATGGCCGGAAAAGAAAGATAAAAATGAGAAAAACTCAAAGTTTAAGCATGTCATTCAATTAGATGGAAATAATATAACAGAAGTCTTTACCAATATTGTTCAAAAGAAAATTTGTCGTTTATGAAATTCTTTGGAACAAAAATGGTCAGATAGTCAAAGAAGAATGGGATGATTTAAAAGTAAAAACTGAGATAGGTTGAAAAGAGACATTACATTTACTGATGTTGCAATTCCATCAACATCTTCTAATCAGTCAACTCCATCAAGATCTTCGGAACAACCAAGTTTATCATGTACCGAAATATTGGATCAGGCCAAAAGATTGGAAGCATCAGAGTTATGTCGGGATAATTCGCACGAAACAACTCTTATATTGCAAGCAGCCGATACGACATACTTTATTTATGACCCTTATTTTTTTTTGCCGTGAAAATATATACAATCCGTAATTTATTAAGAAGATATATAGGTAACAGGGACGAGAAGAAGACTAATATGTCTTTTCGCCAACAAAATTCGAAGGATCAAAAAGAAAAAGAAGAAAAAAAGAATAACAACACATATCAAACGAAGACATAAATAAATTGAAAATGTTACTAAGTGCTAAGAGCTACTCCCAAATGATCTTGTTAAAGTGCAGGAACTCAGAACCACAGAATCATTTAAGCATAAATATAATACTTTAGTTTTTGGCATTAGTCCACTACATGCTTTGATACAATTTTTTGAATGTATCGTCAAAATATCAAATAGATATGATTTGTGTAAATGGCATATAAATAATTCGTGGTACTAATAATAAGAAAATCGTTTTATCTAGAAAAAAAGAAATACAACAACCAAAAGTTAGATGTTTTGGATGTAACGACAACAATACTGATCGTCGAGCATTTAAGAATGTTAAAAAATTTGCTGAAATAACTAATGTGAATGAAGACTTGATTAAAAAGTTTAAAATTATTCTGTTTCAATTTGTAGAAAATTATAATAAAGCTGTTTAACGTTATTTATTGCAGTATTATTGGGAATTGAAAAGTTATTTTGCCCGATGCAACCCTAAAGTTTTGATATGACTACATAATTTTTAGCGTTTTGTTGGGTTTAAAAAACTATTAACATGAATGGTTTCTAACAGAAATATAAATAGATATGGTGATGTTTTGGATGAAAATTTAGATAAAATCATAATAAATCAATTTAAGTTAGCAGCAACATTTTTTAACTGAACATAATAACTATTAAGTCGATTTCTTTATCTATAGTATTCATCCATAGTAACTCAAGTTTTCATCCATAGTAACTCAACATTATCTCAGCAATGGTATAGTTCTCCTTGAAATAGCAACCATAGTGGATAGTCGTTTTGTTGTGAAGCAGCAATGGATACTAAATAGTTCCCTTTCCAAAATTATTTTATAAAATTTTTTCTTGATATTTTAATCTGAGAAACAAAATTAATGCAAAAATGCATTTAGAACAAAAATACGTTTTATAAAAGTATAAAACTGCAAAGAAAATCGTTTAAAAACTTGAATTTACTAATTGTTATAAACAGTTGGTAAAAAGTAATAAAAATAATAAATAAAAATGCTAACAAAATAAAATCAAAAATTAACGTGATTGCGCTAAAAAAAAAAAACGGAGTCCAAAAAAGCATTGTTCTTTACAGATTTCAAACTCAATTAGTCACTTGTTAAATTGTTAACTATTCTTAATTTATTCTGTAAAATAATTTAATCAAGAAAATAAAAACATGCAATCAATTAAACATAGATAAAGATAAATTCCAATCAAGTATCTTCAATAAACTAGGCTCAATCAACTTTTATTCTCTGTTGTGTGAGTCGATAAATAATGCTGTCTCCAGGATCCATATACCACATTGATACTGAAATAGCATAAACTGTAAGAGTAAATCCAATTACAAACCATAACCATATGTTCCAGATTGCAGGAAAAGATTTATCATAGGCAGATGCTAAGTTCCAATTGTCCTATGAGAATACATAGTAGAATTAATAATATAAATTAATACGAATTATAACTAATGCAAACTTTGCATTAGTTATAATTTTATACGTTTTTGTAACTAACAGTTATAAAAAAAATTTATATCAGGGACGGATCTAGGGTGTACTAAGTGAAACAATTGTTACAATCAATTTATTATTATTTTTTTAATTATTTTTTTTTTCATGTAAAATACTAGAATAGCATAATAATAATAATAATAATAATAATAATAATAATAATAATAATAATAATAATAATAATAATAATAATAATAATAATAAAACAAAAATTTTAACAAAATACTGGTTTTAGTCAAGCCGCGGTGTTCTAAAATTGTAGCAAAATTGACCAAAGTTACGGGATTATTTGAGTCGGAAAAATAAAATGCTTCATTTTTAAAACCAAAGTTTTTATTACATTGCTCATAAAACTTTGTAAGAATGTCAAACATTTTGTATTTACTTAAGTTAGACCAAGAATTTAATAAAATGGCAAACAAAGAAGCAACTGTGGTAAAAGCCTTTTGTCATGTTTTCAATACATTTTAGTTACTTTAGAAGCAATTATTTTATTAACAAAGTCTCACATTAGACGAGACCCAATTTGAAAACCCAGTTGAATATCCAATTTCGGTTTATGATCAATTTTGAATAAAAACGATAGAAAAAATACCATCTTTTAGTTAAGAAAAATTAAATAGCACTGTAGGGTACGTCATACTAAAATTTGTTTGAAAATGACATTTGGGGAGTGATTTTATAATAAGTTGGCTAATAAGCTAAGCAATATTTATCCCAAAAAAAAAAAAAAAAAAAAAAAAAAAAAAAAAAAAAAAAAAAAAAATTTAAAATTAACTTAAAAAATGTAAAAAAGCGATAAAACCTGCATTTTTACGACATAAAAATTAGCATAACTTCACTAATGTCTTCTAAATTTTTAATTGATATTAGTAATTGTAAACTATGATTTATAAACACAGTTACTTTAGTACTTGGTATTTGCTTTGTGTTAGTAGTGGATTTAATAATGTTCCTGGGATATCAAAAAGTTGCAATATTTGTTGTTGTGGATTTAGTATATTTTTTGTTTTAACAGTTTTAACATAAAATAAAATATTGAATTATGGAGAGTTCAAAACTGAAACCAACTAGACATTCTTCTACAACCAATTCAACTAACTAAATATCTTGGAGTAGAAAAAGATTGGTTAGAAATTGAAGTTCCTACACTGAGAGATGTACTAAGAAAAGGTCTACATTTTCAGGAAAATATGCTTTATTCTGACGATCTTGATAGGTGTTTCTTTTGACATGATATTGAAAAGTAAATTTCTAATAGATAACTAATGGGCACAAGACGTGCGATGACATTTATAGGACATCTATTAGACGTCTGGACGTCCGCTAGGCATCTTTGGACGTCCAAAACCTACTGTGTAGGAAATATTACAATATTAGGTATTTCAAACAAACAATTTTATATTTTTTTGTAGGAAATGTCATCTACTTATAAAAAAAAATCCCGGTGGTATGGGCAGACTTGGTATTGAAACAATGGTCTCAATCCAATGTTTTGTTTTTAAGACCCCTAGTTATACCTCATAAATCGCTGTCAGATTAAATTTTAACTGTTTTTTTAAAAGTTTTCTAATCAAAACATTTCTAATCGAAAAGAAACAAAAGAAAAAATTGTCAAATTGTGGGAAGGTAAGCTTGACAAATTGATAGATATAATAGATAAAAATTTTCCATGAAAAGAGGTTAATGGTTGTTCTGCTGGAGTTCACATTTTTTACTTTTTTTTAAAAGATATTAGGGACCACAGCTTGATTTATTATACCTAAGATCTAAAAGAGATAAGGTTGGTCACCAAATATTAATCAAATAGACAAGATAAAAACAAAAAGACATTGGAAAAAAAGAAACAAAAAGACATGGGAAAAATAACAGATATTGCATCTTTAATTTGATTAACCTCATATTAATACACAAGTTCAAATAGTTTTCTATTTGAACTTGTGATTCATAAACTTATTTTTACTTCATCTGAAAATATTAAGAATTGAAATATCCTCAGAAGACAGCTTCAATAATATCAAACTGTTCCCTACTCCATTGCTTCGAGTAATCAACAAATCATGGAGCCGAATTTCACATGTAATATGAGAAAAAAGGATTTACAAAAAGTAATAGATACTCTTATAGAAGTACCTTACTATCCTCTTCACATCCAGTCTTGTGAAAGAGTTGTTAAGCAAGTGACTGAAGCAGCAGCTGCTATTAATGGTTTTTAGAGATGCGATGGTTTTATTAGAGAAAGAATAGAGCACAGATTTGTTGCTTCAAATCTGAAGTCCAAGAAAGATTTGATCAAACTATTTAACGTAAAGTTTGATTTAAGCGAAAATCCATTTTCGATCAAAACTTGTTTTTTTAATTCCAAATATACTATAACTTCATTTTATTATAGTAACTGTGTGCCCCCACAGAATATCAAGATGTTTCACATATAACAATTTCAGGCAATTCATCTGCAGGTTTTATATTTCATATCATACTCTTTTAATGTTCAAAAGTTATGATCATGAAAGATGTGCAACCCCCTTATTTTAGAAAAATGTGGAAAAATACATGATTATAACTTTTGAACACCAAAACATGTAGAAATACCTACCACATAAAATCACTTCTAAACTAGGGTTGTTAACCGGAGGATTTCGTGCAATTCCGGAAAAACAACATTGTTTCGTAAGGAGATTGAGAACGAGGAATTACATTTTTTCGTACCGAATGTTAAAATCGCCGATGTTGATTTCGCAAATGCTACTTACGAAATTTAGCATTTCGCAAGTTGACATACGAAATAAAACTATTTTGCAACATACGAAAGTATCGGTTTTGGAAGTCGCACTTGCGAAACAAACATTTTCGCCTAACGACGTTTTGAAGTCTATAAAGAAAATTTGTTTGCCAGACTGATTTTAATATTAAAAATTAATATTTTTAAATCCCAAAATGTTTATAATTAATTTTTATTTTCAGTATAATAGCATATTAAATTTTTATGGTTTTATTTTTAGAGATATTGATAAAAAATAAAATTTCTTTCAAAACGAAAGTATTTTGGATCACAACATACGAATTTTTGAAACAGGTTCGAATATGCTTAAGCAAATAGTAAAAAGAGGCTCAAAAATATGCTTAAGCTTAAGCATATTTCTAATAAAATATACCTATTTCAATAATTTCTAAAAGTGTGCACGTTACTAAAGGTTAATGGGTATAAAAAAAATAAAAAGTTGACTTATGCTCTGTATTTTTGTTTTGGTTTTAATGTAGCTGAAATTTAATGTTGTTATAAACTTCGGTTTTTGTTGGTTTAAATTTAGAAATATATATATTTAAAATTTTTAATTAAATAAAAATAAAATTTTTTAAATGGTTAATTGAGGCTCAGGAATATGCTTACATATGCTTATTTTTTTTCCAAATCTGAGCCTATAAGCGTTATGCTTATAAAAAAAAAAACGAGTATGTACAGTAGAATTCCGTTATCTTAGTCCCTGGATAAGTAGGACTTTAAGGCTTTCCATAAATGATGTCAGTAAATATAAGGGGGAGGGGGGACTGAAAAGTTTGACAAGAATTGACAATGGGGAGGGGGTGTTGAGACCAAAATGATGACCAGTTAAGAAAAAAAAATTTAAGTTCGAGCAGATTTTAAAGGTATTTACATCTACCATGTGGTATAGAAATAGCATATTTGCTTTGTGGGGAAATCGATGTAAGTTTCCTTGAGACATGATATAAATTAAAAATTTACAAACGTTTTACTATTGTATTACCATTTGACTGAAAACCTACCTGTTTACAAATATCAACAATTTGTATATAAATTTAACAATCATCATTCGATCCCAGACGAATTTAAAATGTGCTTTAAAGCACATAACACATAGCAAATAGTACATATATATAGCACATAACAAGTAATAGCACATAACACATAACAAAACACATAAATTCATTTGTCATTATTATCGAAGAACACTTCAACAACTCATGGGAAGACGATGAGTGATTGAATTTATATTATAGATATAGAATAAAATTTTCAATAGTTTGTTTACTATTTGATGAGGTATCAACTGTTCTATAATATAATATGCTGAGATATAAATGTATAATTTAACCAGAAAAAATTAATGGTGCTTACACATATCTTTAATGTTACTTTAAGGAGGAGGAGGAGGAGGAGGAGGAGGGGGGGGGACATCATATATAAAGGGGGTTTTGCGAAAAGTTGACAGAGTTTGACAAAGAGAGGAGGGGATTTAAAAATTCAAAAAATCACAGACATCAATTATGGACAGCCCCTTTTACTAAGTTGGAAAGTTTTTCAATTTTCCTTGAACGTTCTATAAATACCAAGAGCTACGCTTAACTGGGACATCCCCTAAGTCGTATTATTTATCTTTCGCCAGTTTTGTTTTTCGGCGAACAACCCTATTCCAAGTTGTTTTTTTTTTTTAATGAATTTTTTTTAAAAATATGTTTTAAAAATATAGCACTGCCTGTCAGTGAAATTCCAATGGAATATTTATTCTACTTAAATTGTCAGACGGAGTTGATGGTTGTATGGATGTTACAGTAAGTACTAGTTTGACGAGGTTGTATGTTGTTAAAATAGTACACAGTATAGTTGAATACTAAAGACTCTTTCAGGTGACATGCCAAGATGTGTATTTCCAGAAATAAAGCCCATCTCGGAAAAGTTATTTTCAAAAAATAGTACTCACATAAAAATTCTTTTTTATTGACTTTCCAATTATGTAAGTTTTATAATGTAAAATTATATAAAATAAATTTTATTGTAATTTAATTATTTTTAATGGGCTTCTTTTGAAATCTCGTAATACCAAAAAAGTAAATGTGAAAATATAAAAACCGAGATTACTGAAAATGATTGAAAATCTTCAAAATTTAAGCTTTCGTTTTTTAATAAGAAAAGAGTCAAAACGATTTTTGACTAAACAAGAGTCCTCAGCATAAATTTTCTCATGAGGAACTATTTTTCACGTAATTCTCCGAAGAATAAAGGTAAAAAATAAAATAATGAGAAGATTTTTAATACAATTTTAATAGTATTAAAATTTTAATAGTTTTCAGTAAATTAAAAAACACAAATTTTTTTTGAAAATTTTAGTTTATTTTCATAGTTTTTACATTTTTGAAAAAATCTCGGTTTTGTATGAGATCTTGTCTCGGAAAAATATTGTCTCGGTCCATAACAAAGAACCAAGATGAAAAATAAACCAGAGATTCTGAAAATATATCTAAGGTCTACAAAATACCAACAAACAAAAACGTTACAATTGATATCGTTACTTTTTCTTAATGCCTAGGTACAAAAGATTATTAGCCTGATTCTTGCTTTTCTAAAAACTAGTTACCGATTCTCATAACCCTTTTTATTTTGACACAGCTTGAACTATCAACATAGGAAATGACACATTTGACACGTTCCTCACACATTCCTGACAAACAGAAAAATCGTGCTACTAATTACATATTAGTAGCAATATTTTTCTGTTTGTACAGGTCAGGACTAGATAAGGAACGTTGCTAAATGTGTCATTTCCTATGTTGATAGTTCAAGTTGTGTATAATAGGGCCTAGAAATTCCCTCTGATCTGACCAAGAATGAACATATACTTTAAGCTTTTGTGTGTGTATGTGTGTGTGCATATACACAAAGGGTATTTCATAAGTTGTATACGTAATTTTGATTTAAAATACTTTAACCAATCATAAAAAAAAAAGAATGTTTTTTTTGATTTTATTTAGTAGTATACTTATCAGAATAAAAAAATACTTTATGTAACTATTTAATTTGTTTAACATCTAGCTACAGGCAGCATTTCAAACTGACCACTACGTTTTTGCTGGCTGTTATACACGCGTCTGTGTTTATCTCTGCACACACTTGTTCAACCCACTCACTTAGTTCAGCAGTTGTAGAGGGTTTATCCTTGTAACAATATTCCTAAAGGAAGAAATCTGGATGAGCAAGGTAGGAAGAACAAGCATGCCATTTAATTGGATCTTGTCTCCTATCCATAGTTAATCAAGCCAGCTTTCTAGTAGTCAAGAATTTTAGGCAGATGTACTATCTTGTTAAAAGTACATACTGCAATTGTTCAACCTGAGGCCATAATACTCTTTAAGCATTTGCAAATACAATCATTTGTGACCAAAACGTTCAAGTATTAACCAATTAGACCACCTGAAGTTATTCTACACTACACCATTACTTCATTCTTTGAGTTAGGCACAGTTATTGTTAACACATATTCTACCTAAATACATCTAGGTAGAACATGCAAGAGAATGCCACTACATTAAGTGAGGGTTTAGGTTGGGACAGAAACTGTTTTTTTCATTAATCTTTGTTTTTTCTACTTTTTCTGAAAAATTAAAGTGCTTATTTTAAGAATTAAAGCGCAAAAAATATTTTAAGATATTGCATCCAATGATACATATGTTTTATGTGTGTGTGTGTGTGTTAGGTTATTATTTGCTTCATAACTAAAAAAAATTTTTAAATTGAGCAGTTTGATTTCTTGTATTCCTTTATTTTAGTAAAAACCCTACTTTTTTGATTAACCTTAAATCACACTTTCGTTTTGACATTAGTTTGTGTGATTTTAATTTTAATTATGATTTTCACTTTATTAATAAAAAAATCAAGTGATTGAAAAGGAAGATGGTTTATAATGATTATTTTACAAAACCATTTTATGTTTCCTATCCAGTTGTCATGAACTTGGTATGGTAGGTGTGTATCTAAAAAAAATGTGCTTCTCTAATGGTCATGTCCAAGAACAAAAGCATTTGAAAGTTTTCTTAAGTTGATAAACATTCACTACATAGTATGGTAGGTAAAAAGTATGGTACATACACTACATAGTATGGTTGATAACATTCACTACATAGTATGGTAAGTAAAAAATGTAATTTTTTGTTTTTAATTTTTATGCTAACGAATAATTTAAACATTAATAAAACAATATTGCCAAAAAAATTACCTCCACTACACCATTTGCTGGAGTTGTACTCAGAGTTCTTCTACTTCGATAAATATCTAAGTTTTCACCTGCACATTTAAACTAAAATTGAAAAAAAAAAAAAACAATAAAAATATTATGTCTTCATACAGTATAAATGCACACATATTATGGATGACCCAGTGCCAAACCAGTCTTTACAACAAATACGTTGAAATGAGATAATTAGATGCAAAGTTTAAATGTTTTTAACAAAAGCCACTAAACCAAAAAAAATTAAGTAATTGCAGTTCAGTGCACTTTTTAAGTAAAGTATATTGGTGTTTGCAATATATATATATATATATATATATATATATATATATATATATATATATATATATATATATATATATATATATATATATATATATATATATAAAATGCTTGCTTTGTCTTCATGAAAAACTTTGCATAATATCATACAAAGGTACGCAAGAACTATTAAATAAAAAAACAGAAATAATATCTAAGTGCCGTCAAGAAAACAAATTCTTGCTTGATAACCGCGTACCCAAAGATTAAAAAACCAAACCATGCTTGTAAATAGTTAACATCTTATAATTGTTTTTGAACACCACGATGTTTATTAATTATATTTTTTAATGAAAAAAACAATGTATTTTTTACCTGACGATTGCTAAACGCATGAAACTTTTAGTAGTAAAAATTATGTAGTTATTTTTTTATTTAAGATCGTCAAAAAAAAAAATAATTATATATATATATATGTATATATATATATATATATATATATATATATATATATATATATATATATATATATGTATTTATATATATATATGTATATGTATATATATATATATACATATACATATATACATATATATATATATATGGAATTAGGGTCAGCATTTCAATGCCGACCCTAATTCCGAGGGTTGTATATATATATATATATATATATATATATATATATATATGTACATATATACATGTATATATATATATACATATAAATATATATATATATATATACACGCACGCATATACAGCCTTCAGAATTAGGGTCAGCATTCAGCAATGGCAACCTAGTGTTTGAGGTCAGCAAAAAATTGCTGACCGCAATTTCCGTTTAGTAATAATTCATTTTTTTACTTCTATTTTCGTTTCTGATATATATATATATATATATATATATATATATATATATATATATATATATATATATATATATATATATATATATATATATATATATATATATATATATATATATATATATATATATATACACACACACACACATATATATATATACATATACAAATAGTATTGTGTACTAAGGTAAGCAATCTGATGACATACTGAAATATCCTGCTGCCAGGGGCTTCAGTACATACATCGACTGACAAATACTCGCATTCTCTACTCCACTCGCAGTGGAGTGCTGCTACACTGACTGAGGTTTTAGCATGGGGAAGCAATCTTTTCATTCATTATTCTTCGTTTTTTTTTTTCTTTTTCTAAAAGTCGTATGGATTAAGGTAAGCAAAAAAAGTGAGCGAATGCTTATATAAATACGCTATAGTAGATAATATATATATATATATATATATATATATATATATATATATATATATATATATATATATATATATATATATATATATATATATATATCAGAAATGTTTTCATGTTTTATGGTTAAACCTTTGTGTCAAATCATTTTTGCCAGCCTTGATTAAGACTAATTATAAAAATCTTTTTAAAGTATTGGCTTTCAAATCGAAATAAATTTAAAAATTGTGAACTTTCTTGACGTTACATTTTATCTCCCTGAAAATTCATATAAGCCTTTCAAAAAACCAAACAACAAATTATTTTATATTAATGTTAACTTAAATCATCCACCATAAATTCTAATACAAATTCCAATTTCAATTAATAACAGGCTAAACCAAAAGTCCTCTAAACAAATATTTGAAAATGCCCTTTAAAAATATGGTTTTGAAAATTTTGAACTAAAATTTGACCCTGAAAAAAAAGAATACAAAAAAGCAAAATAGAACTAGAAATGTAATTTGGTTCAACCCCCACCTTCCCCCTCCCCCATATAGCAAAAATGTTTCCACTAACATAGGTAAAGTGCTTTTAAAATTAGTCGATAAGCATTTCCTGCCCTCTAATAAATTACATAAAATTTTTAATCGAAATGCAATTAAAGTTAGCTACAGTTGCACAAAAAATATGGAAAGAATTATAAAAGGTCACAATAATAGCTTTTTTGTAATATGCAGTCTATCCAAGGATCATTATCTTGTTAAAATTGCCAGGTGGAGTCAGCCTTGAAAACGTCTATTGATGGCTTTAGATAATTTTCTAATATCTCTCTATGTCAATGTTGATTAAGGCGATCAGTGTAAAAATGCGCCAGTTTAAAAATGCGCCAAGTCAAAATTTGAACTTATTAATCGCAATTTGGATTAATAAGTTCAAATTTTGAACTTATTAATCCAAATTGCGATTAATAAGTTCAAAATTTGACTTGTACAAGAAAATTACTTTTCTCCATTGCTCTACAGTCCATGCAGCTCTTTCTTTGCACCATTTTAGCGTGGATAGCACCAGGATAGTGTGATTGAAATGATTATCAATATCAGCTACCCAATGGCATTGCTAGATCAGCTGTCATTTCGAACGATGATGAAAACTTTTGAGCCAAAATTTAAATTGCCAGGCAATTAAAAATAAAATGTAAATAATTAAAAACGTAAATGTTAAATATTGTATAAATTTTGTATTCAACAACACTTAACAATTTTTAAATGTTATAAATCAGCCTATGAGATGAAAAGAAATTTCCAGTAGTAGATGTCAAAACAAATAATAGTTAAAAGATATAAAAACAAATAAAAGTAAGAAAAAAAATTGGTCAGTCAGGCTTGGTCGGGAAGCGGGTGCGATGGCACTTGATAACTGACCACGGAAATAATATTTTGTTGGGAAAAACCGGCCAGATATTTTAGTCATTTTGAGAACATTTAAATTTATGTATGTTTCCTTAATTAAGTTCATTATTTTATGGTAATTTTTTAATATTTTTTTTACGGACATAAAAACATACATAAACTCGAATGTTCTCAAACATCTTTGTGCGGAAAAATAAAAAAAACACAAAAAACCTGCCAAATCTATGATCAACTAATTCTATTGGTTCAAAAAATACAAACTGAAATTTCTAGAGTATTCTGTTAAAATATTTAAAAAAATTGTATTATTTGAGTTTTGCTATGATTTCGTTGAGATTTCTAGCATAAATTGTTTTAAGAATATACTATCAAACGAACTATTATTTTAATTCTCGGAGCCACATCTACAAAGCTATAAATGTTTTAAACTAGCATTATTTGTTTACAAAAATAAATGTTTTAAATTTACTAACTTTAATTATTTTTGCTTCAGCCATTCTTACAAACTCGTTATACTCAAACTTAAAGTTAATTTTTTCTGTTTTAAATACTAATTAAAATTATAAAGCACACTCACTAAACATTATCAGCGTTAATGTGAAGCAGTTCCGCTTCCTCCTCACATAGTAATTTAACGTTTTTAGTTAATTTCTATTTAGTTAATTTCTATTTAGCTAATTGAATTTCTACAGTAACTCAATGATTTAATTATTTCATTTATTCATCTTATAAGATATTTAACACATTTGAAACAATTTTTCTTAGTATACTAAGAAAAATTTTCAAATGTGTTAAACTTTTTAAACTACACGAAGCATGAAACAGTTATTGAAAAAACTTTTTTGTTTATAAATAAATCATCTGGTGTTAGTTTTATTAATTGAATCTTGTTGGACTTTTCATGGCCGGAGACTGCATTATTTTGGCGGCCTTTATTAAAATGTAAATGCGTAAAAATGATTGAAAAAAATACAGAATGGTCCTCTTGACTATTTCGCGGCCCCTAACATTGTAAGTCCCAAGGCTATAGCCCTTCAACTCCCCTTCATCCACCTACTCAATCCAGCACTGGAAATAAGACAAGTATATAAATAAAAATTATATATACTCTTTGATAAATTGAAGAACGTTTGTTTCCTTATTAAACAATCATTAATAGTAAGTTGTTACTTTATATAAAATATGTCACTTAATTAAAAAAAAAAAATTTATAAAAGAGCGACGTTTCAAAAATATTTGCTATAATCGTATTTATTTTGCCTAAAGTTTTTTTGCGTTAAAAGCTATTTTTCTTTTTTTAACTGTCTCTCATCGGTCCAGTTAATCTTATTGCGTTTTTTTGTTTGTTTTTGAAATGTTCTCAAAACGACTAAAAAATCTGGCCGGTTTTTTGCAACTAAATATTATTTCCGTGGTCAATTATTGAGTGCAATCGCACCCTGCTTCCTGACCAAGCCTGGTCAGTGTGTCCAGTGCTTCTGGGAAGGCTTGCTATTCATGAAATTTAGGTTTACCAATAAGCTAATTTTAGAGGCCAATTATGATAAAGTCTGTATACTTAACGACTTGTAGTAGACACAAATAATCATATAAATTTCATAGTTGCATAGCAAAATATCTGAATTATATAAAACATCAAATCATGACATTAAGGCACTCAAATAGATTATTCGACTAATATGAACTTTCTTCATTATTTAACTGATTTAAATAAAGATTTAACTGCTTTAAATAAAGCTGATTTTAAATTTTACTAATTCAAATTTGTTTTCAGTTAAAGATAAATATACATGTTGTACCATTATGTTATGCTACAAATGAAAAATTGTTAGAAATTTCTAAAAGAAATAATGTTATTTATAATAAAAGTTTGTACAACTTTGATTGTAAATAATAAAATTGTTATTTTCTAACATAGAATGTAACAATAAAATTTAAAATAAAATGTAAACATAAAATTTAACAAGAACAAGAACAACAACAAAAAAACAGAACATTAATGTTGTTAAATAAAAGTTCATCATATTTTAGAAACCCTGGGCTTTTTACAAACTAATTTTACATATTGTTAGGTTTTTTTTATTAATTAGGTAATTTCAATTTATTATTCAAAAAATTTTAATTATATAT